AAATTCGTGTTTAATCCTTTTTGAATTTTGTTTTTATTTATGTGTATGTTTGTATGGGTATATGCCACATGTGCTGAAGCCTATGGAGACAGAACAATTTGGATACCTTAGACCTGGAGTGACAAATGACATTTGATTTCTTAGTTAGGGACACTATTGTTGTGATAAACATCAAAACCACAGCCACTTGGGGAGGAAAAGGTTCGTCTGGCTTAGCTTTCATACCTCTGTTCATCATTGAGGAAGTCAGGACAGAGTTCAGGCAGGGCAAAAACCTGGATGCAGGAACTGAATCAGAGGCCATGGTGGGCTGCTGCTTACTGGGTTGCTCTTCATGGCCTGCTCAACCTGCTTTCTTATAGAAGTCAAGTCTACCAGTCTAAGAATGGCACTATGCATAATGGGTTGGACCCTTCCAGATCAATCACTAGGTAAGAAATTTGCTATAGACTTTTCTACAGTCAAATCTTATAGAGGCATTCTGCAATTGAGGTTCCTGCCTCTTATCAGCCTGTGTCAAAGTGATATAAAATTAGCCAGCACATTTTATATGAGAGCTAAACCACAATTCAGGTTCTCTACAAGAGCAGAACACTTTCTTAAGTGGTGAATCACCTCGTCAGTACTCTTATTTGATATTTTGGATTCAATAGTAAATGAATATTTCTTCTGAATTTCAATTTCTAACTGTAGTAGTATGGCCTGCACAAATTTAGTAAATTTTCATATTTCGCTGTTACATGCCCAAATCCTTCAATTTTCCTCATAGTCTTATGTAAGGGAGCATATGTGTTTTTTTTTCTGTATACAGTATGTCACCAGCACATTTATTGTCTTTTCCCTCACAAACATTATGAATTTTAGGTATTTTCTGATACTGTCATACTTCTTAGAACTCTCCAGTGCAAATTTATAGAAACCGTGGGAATGCTTGTGTTCTACATTTTCCCATTAAGGAAGCCATGTGTAATTTTCAGACTTAGAGAATTCATTTCTATTTTTAGTTTACCAAGATAATTTTACATTGAAAATGCATGCTGGATTTTCATCTCAGGCACATTTTGAGTCTTTTGATATCATCAAATGATTTCAACCATCATTTTTCAGTGTGACAGAAAGGCTTAGCAAATGAGGCTTAGATTAATCTTAAATTCCCAGAATAAACTCAACTGGGTCATGGTGAAATTTAGAGATAGAGACTGAGAAAGATTTTCCTTCTTCTATGTTTAAATAAAATTGCACCCACTCATTTCACTTTTTTTATGTCTTTCCAGATTGTGCTGTTGACATTCTGATTGGTAGACAAAACAACTGGGATCTATATTTTGTGTTTCACATACATCTTCTAAACTTTGTTTAATTATGCACACATGCTTTCTTGCTTTGTCATAGTAATATAAGTGTGTTCTGGAAAATAAATATGAACTTTGTGATAGTTAAAGCAATATGGTTATATAAACATCAGAGGATTAATGGTGCTTGACTGCATGTTTCTGACAGGAGACACAGGACAGAAGAAGACATAGCCAACCATCTGTAGTTGTTAAAATCCCTGTGAGCTTGCTGGCCCAGACAGACGAAGCTGTTCTATAAAGGCAAGGCAAGTAGAGGAGTCAGGAAATTACTCTCGATCCCAAGGCAGTGGGCAAAAAGCAACACTATACCATGAATTTGGACTATCATTTTCACTTTGAAAACTGAATTACTTTACTTTTGTTATTGCCACTTGAATCTCTTCTATTTTCTCTATAGGTTACGTAAATGTCTCTTAGAGTTTGGCTGAAGACTATCATAAACTAAAATGCCAAAAATAGAAACAAGAACTGCTAATCCAGGTAAGCATATTTACAAAAGCAAATTAACACATCCCTTAGCACATAATCATACAAATGTATTACCCTATACTTGAAACTGAAAAAATATCAAAAGACTCCATTGTTTTATCCTGATAGGAAGTATAAGACAATCCTACTCTCTTGTTATTACCATAAGAATTTAGATTGAGTAGATTATCTATAGAATGTGTCACTGATTTTTTTTCTGTTAAGTCATCACACTAATTAAAGCTAACAGATAGTGAGCAAAAGAAACTTAGACCACTCACTAATATACATGGTATGTTAGGATGGTAGTTATAAGTCTAGCCAAACCTCACTGGCAGATACAACTTAAAAAAGGAAAGCTTCAATTTGCCTCATGATTTCAGAATTTTCAATATGTGTTCAACTCGTTCTGCCAATTTTAGGCTTAGTTGAAACTGTATAGTGGAAGGATTCACCTCAGCAGTAAGGAAGAGGCCAGAATAAGGTACTTCTCTGAGGGCATGCCTTCAGTAACCTACTTCCTCCAATGTGACAACACCTTCTTCGTTCCCACAGTCTCCATATGTATCGTCATGTTATGCATACTAGGGATTCCTCCACTAATGATTTGGAATGCTCACTATCCAATCACTTTCCCAAATACCATCTATAAACTTACTGTATCAATAACCAAACCTTTCGCATATAAATATTTTAGAAGGAAATTGATTTCTAAAAACCCTACGATTTCTATTGACCTACAGCGAAGACTGCAGGAATCCAGTGTTTTGAAAGATGTTGACACGTTCATGCTGAATTCATTTAATGACAAGCAAGGTTCTTGTGTAAGAATGTAGAAGCTCATTGAGTATTCTAACTCCCAATTTGCCCATCATGGTTTCAGGGTCTTAAATCACAGAAGGAAACGTATCCGCATCAGATCCAGGCTGAATTGGAAGTAGCAGCTCTTCCATAGTCTGACACTATGCTTTAATACATTTAGTAATATTCAAAGTATCGTTTCACAGGGATATTTTATTCATATTATATTCAAAAGATCAATATGTAATGATGTAAAGCCAAACTCTCTGTTTAAGCATTCTCTTTTTGGAAAATGAAAAAAAAAAAAAAAACAATTCTCTCTTGTCATTGTACCCTACAAAGACAGAATATCTGACCAGAAAATATTAGTAGTCATATGATCTGACCCAAACTTCTCTAGCTGAATAATGTCATTCAACTATGGACAGACTCAGCAGCAGTCCTTCATCAACTGCTCTATATGACTGTCAGGTGGTCACAGTTCAGTTGTATGAACGGCTGCCTCGTATTGCACCAACTTCTATCCCATTACTTTGTTTCCTTCCTTTCAATTCTCATTAATGATATCATAATAGACCACCACTAATAACAAAAGATTAACAACAAGAAGCAAAGCCAACACCCTACCGCCCAGTCTTCTGAATGATTCTATAATGCATGGACAGCTAAAACTGAGAACTTCACATCTTACAGCTGCAGTCAGGAGGGTCCTTGAAACACTGTGATGACAAGACTGAATCTCTACTTTGTTGAATAGAAACATGGCAACACTTTTCCTGCCTGTGGAATATGCTGGGGTACAGATGGCACAGAGATTGTGGGAGTGGCAAACCAATGACTGGCCCAGCCCAAGACCCCTGCCATGAGAGTGAGCCCACCCCAGACACTGCATGGGGGATTAGGACTCAGAAAATTGATGGCTCAGAGACATAGGATAGAACCAAACACAAGTGGAGGAGGAAAAGCATAATGATGCCTAATGATATTTTGCCACACTCTTAGATTGATGAGTACCCCAACTGCTATTGTCATCAGAGAGCCTTCATTCAGTAACTGATGGAAACAGATACAGAGATCCACAGTTAAGCATTAGGTCGAGCTCTAGAATCCTGCTGAAGAGAGGGAGGTCAGTTTGTTGCAGCCAGAGGGGTCAAGGACATCAGAAGACAACCCACAGGATGGATTAACAGTTGGAAATGATCTGGCTGGAGATTTATGAAACACGAAATAGTACCTCAGAATCCTTGTTGTTCAGTTGAGCTACTTGTAAGTTGATCGGTGTGCTCTAGGTTCTGAAATGCGCTTTTGGAGATACATCTAACTGTGCTCCATTTATCCTTCTACAAGTAACTCCTCAGCCATATTACTGCTAGTAACTCCAGTAAAACTTATCAATTAACATAACAACAGCCACAAAATGAATCCTGGAACAAGCAGAATTGAAGACATTTTGTGTATCACTAATGAGTGGACAGAAAAAAAAAAGACATGTATCTGTAATACCATTTGTCTGTTAATTAGCAGTTGTAGAAGGTGGCACATTCTGAATGTCAGCCAGCTTTTTTTCCTATCCATCTTTGTGTTTGCTTGCTAGGGGTTCACAAAGTTGGCCATAGTGGCATATTCACCATAGGCTTAGTAACACGGAATTTCTATTTCTCTGACTAACTCTAGTGCACCAGAAAGCACCACCTCCCACTGGTGGTGATATATCATAGGTCCTAAATAAAACATTTCCTAGTACCCTATTACTCTGTACCTCTTTCATCATAACAAACACAACAAATTTTCTTCCACCAAAATTATTCATATGTATTTCTGCCCCAGCTTGCAAAACTCCTGCACAGACCAACAATCTGCTTACTTAGTACGGTCAAGAATGTGATTATAATTACATTTATATAATTATGATAGTTATTACATAGAAAGTACATAGAAAGTATTACATATTAAGTATATCTCATGCCAGTTATATTAATATATTGAAAGTTATTTAAATAACCTCCAAAATAATTAGAATAAATGAAAATATGATTTTGAATAAATTATTTGAATCTGAAAGTCATTTTCTTTTTCCTATGATTGTGGGATTTTCTACGACTGAAAAGATTTTGTTCAGAAAGTCCCAAACACTTAAAATTGATAAACTAATTGTAATTAAATAACATAATATTGTTGCAATTTAAAAATGATTTGGGTTTCTTAACATATTATTGGCAAATGGTAGGCATTGATTAAGCAAACGAGATAAGCATGGTTCATATTATTGAACTCAGAATCTGTGGCTAGGCCTGTTTACAAACTACACTGAATCTATATTCACAGGGAACCCTGATTGCTCTTTGGGCTGACGAGGGAGGGGGACTTAATTGGTGGAGGGGGAGGGAAATGGGAGGCGGTGGTGGGGAAGAGACAGAAATCTTTAATAAATGAATAAAAAAATTAAAAAAAAGATTAAACCAAACAACGAGCACTTTACCCCCCCAAAAAAAAACCCAGATGACATCCATACTATTTAAAGGCTGTCTTGATTATTTTTAATAAATTTCAATTGTTTATATTTCTTTGTTAATCTGACAATAAATTTACCACCTGGAAATGTATGACAAAGATACTAAAGTATAATTGCCCTTTTAAATATTTTAAAATCAAGTTTATAATTTCTTATAGATTTAATTAATGTGATAAACTTTTAACTTCCCACAAAAAACATGTACTATTTCAATAATCCATTAGAATGTTCAATTAAGAGTAGTAGGAAGTAAAAGCAGGTGTGTGAGAAGGGAACCTTGATGTTTTCAATATCTAATAATTACTCTCATTTATGTGAGGCACTTCATACACCAAACATCCATTAAGACTCAACTGTCTCACAAAATACAAAATATTGTTTCAGACATTCCAGATGAAGGTGTTCAGTTTCAGAACATTCTATTAACTTTTATCCATATTACAAACTTTGTACAATTACTCTGATAGCATTGACCATGAATTATCTGTTGTTGATAGTTTTATTTTCAGTATTTTGAGCAATGTTTATAACCAGGATATATTTTTTTCTCAATGTTTCAAATAAAAACTGGTATATAAGCATAACTGCCCTTCTCATCTTCTAGGCAATATCTTCATATTTCTCTGACAAGTGAAAACACTTCTATGTTACAAATATTATAAGTTGAGGATATTGCTCTGGTAGAATTTTCAAATCGTTCCAATGTTAGCTGTGTCTTATGGCAAGATGCTAACTGTAATTCTAAACATCTGTGTTGGAATATCTCTACCAGGAGACTCTGATGATTCAAGATCTCCTGCTTTTTTGGAATTCACTTATTTTCCCTTCAATAGTGTCAATCTCTTTGCAATATTTGTAATTTCAAAGATAATGATGCAGATAGGGAGTTGGAAATAATTATGAATATCACGTCTATCATCAAAGCTCTGAAGCAACGTAGAGACATTTCATACCTTTCTGAATTAAGACCCTTAAGCTAATATTCATGCTCATAAAGAATGATTCAACACTCAACATTTGACTTAGTTGTCTGAGATACCTTAAATGAGTGAATGGCTAATCACTCAGTACTATTCATATGAAAGAATTCTTATTGGAATGCCATTATCTCCCATTTATAGCTTGTCTCAAATCTCTTCTGTGCTTCAATGAAAAAAAAAAAGCATTTGGAAAGAAGTATGTGATCAAAAGTTCTAAAATGGGGCTATGTTATCTGCACAGGGAGTTTGTCAGTTTTGGAATTATGTTATGTAGGTTCTCTTGGACTTATAATAACACCATTTGGCTATAGAATCCCAAACATCTCAAATAATAACAGTAATAACAACAATAACAAACAGAAGTACACACAGATCATATTATAAAACAGACTACTCTCATCTGCTGATCATATGTGTTAGGCCTCCCAAATCAAAGGACAGTAATAAAGAAGATATGATTTAAAATTACACACACACACACACACACACACACACACACACATATATATATATATATATATATATATACAATACCAGTAATGATCACATTAGCATTTTAAACCCTATCATTTCATCGAGTTTCTTTTTATGAATTTTAGAATTAAAACTATGCCCCTGTAAAGAGATATTTGCCATTTTACCCATACACAAATAAGCTATGTTAATGTTATTGGAGTGTTTATGTTTTTCTTTTAAAAATAATCAGAATATATCAAAAC